TAGTAATGTAGTACTTCTCATTACTGCTGACTGCTAATTTGTCCATAAAAATTTCCCTTGTTTTCTGACTTACAAGTACTTTAATAAAGCCAGACATATGTAAATTTGATTGAATACATCTGACAAGATAATTTCATTAGTGTGGATATGAAATAGACATGCTAGTTAATTTTCACATCATATTTTTGTTACACCTACAGTAAAATAGCGATTATGCTGTGACAGGTTATTGCTAAGTGATGTTTTTGGATTACAATTTCACCTTTTACTAAGACAAACATTCAAATTTTAAGCAAGTTAAAATGATATGAATTTTTGGATAATAAGATGTGTCGCTGTTGCCTTATTATTATTATGTTCTGCTGCCAAAAGCGCTCGTCTCGTTTCGTGGTTTTTAAGCAGGCGATCGCGCCGCAGACGAGGCTCGACCTTGTTGTCATATCTTGTAAATCCAAATGTTGGAGCATTGAACGTCTCTGGGAGACACAAAGTTGTAAAATGAATGTACATACTGTCAATGTGTTAATATCACCCAAACACGCTGTTAACTACACAGATTAAAAAAACAAACATGGGAAACTTCACGTGTTTTCCTTAATAATAACAATGATAATAATGTATCTAACAGAATGTCTGTGGCATTTGTACTTGTTTTTCTTGATTTTAATTAACTGTAAAAATAAAAACACACACAATGTTAATTTACGCTGTAAATCATAATGGTGAAATTAAAGCAATGATTGTCATTTTATCTAGTTTTTTTTTAAACGAAGATCATTTGTAGTTCAAATTACAAACATGAGTAGTCCTAGGAAAGTGTTGTGAATAACTACCCCAAAAAACTATAAAATGTAGTGTACATTATATCCTGGAAAAGGAATGGAAGCTCCAATAAAATAACAAAAATATAAATATGATGATTTTGAGTCTGTGTGCATTTTTTTTTTTACAAATCTAAACTAAAGACGCCAGACATTTCGATTTGCTAACTTTTCAAAAACACCAAGTCACGTTAATTCAAACCACAACACTTAATTGTTGACGTTTTTATTCTCTTGTCAAACTATCGAGTGATTGAATGATTGCACTGCTTATGCTACAGAATTTTTTAACCGTAAAAGGTGTGGCGCCTTTATGTCTTTGCTCTCTCTATTGAAATGAAAAGCAGACATGCATTAATGCGGTGGGGCTGTAAGTCTGACTGCTGCTAATAAAACTGCTTAAAAAAAGCACAGCAAGGTAAACTTTTAAAATGAAAAAGAAATACAATTGTTATGAATATAAAAATGTAGTGAAAGTTGTTGCAGATTAATTTGAGACTTTGTTTTCCTTCGTATAACAAAAGCACTTTGAACTTTTTCACATTTTGTAACATTACAACCTCAGTTCTCTGTGTATTTCATTGGGATTTTATTTGACGTGTGCTCTGATACCCCTAAATAAAATTCACTGCCACTAACCAGATGACTCTGAACTCACCTGGTCAGCAGACGGAGCCCTCCTCTGTGTAATCTAATCCAGCTGTTCTGTGAAGGCCTCTGAGGATTGTTGGAGAACATTAGCGGACAAACGGCATCACAAATTCCAAGGAACACAGCAAGATGTTTAAAGCAGAGATGGGTTATACAACAATATCCTAAGCTTTAAACATATATCTAAATCTTAAGCAACACTTGAACATCAATGTTTAAATACTCTGTGTACAATCTGTTTCTTTGTTTCACCCAAAGAAACATGGGTGAAAAGTTAGCGATGGATCCAAAACGTCTTGGAGCTGTAATGGCTGTAAAACTTCGTTCTACGAAACATTGACTGACTCAGAGCGTCCAAAACACAAACACGCATAACCTTTTTTAGAAACCATGTGACATTTTCCATCCAACTCACAATTACGCCCTTCTTTGTGTTTATGAATCACATGAAATTCCGCTAAAACAAATTTGTGTTTGTCGTTTTAATGAGACGAAATGTGATGAGGTGCTTAACGGTATGAAAGACGGCATGTATCTGGATTTATAGCAAAATTCATACTGGCTAAAAAGCCTCGCGTCACAGATGCTTCCTAACATAAATATGCCTCCTCGTATCTTTCATAACTACTGAAGTCTATTCATACATTTGTTAGATTTCTCAATAATTAAAAACAAATCTCCACCATAAAAGTCTTGTGAGAATTCTAGAAGATCCACTTCCACAAACATACCTTTCTAAACTTACAGCCGCTGCCAGACTTCTCTCATTTAGTGCGACCAAAATATAAATGATGTAAACACTTTGAGAGCAATACAATCTTCTCGTTTCAAGCACAAACTTCCTGTGTGTCCTGGCGCTTAACGACCTGGAACAGGTGCTGGCTGGAGGGATGCATGCCGTCCCTCTTAGCTGCTTCGTCACGTCTGGTATAAATAGTTTTACCGAAAGCAACGCAGTTGCATCCCAACAGAGGGGAGGGATCACTAAGTCCTCATAAGAGACTGGACCTCTCTCACTGAGTGTGCAGACAGAGTAGCTTACATTTAAGCTGTACGCTTCAGACATGGGCACGCATGGATCCAAGCCAAAGAAACAAGTGCAGGTCCTCCTGCTGGGCCTGGACGGCTCGGGGAAGACCACCCTGCTCTACAAGCTCAAGTACAACGAGAGCGTCGCCACGGTTCCCACTGTGGGATTCAACGTGGAGATGCTGGAGACGGACAGGGGCAGCGTGGGACTGACGGTGTGGGACGTCGGGGGCCAGAGGAATATGAGGCCCCACTGGAAGTATTACTTCCTGGACACAGCTGGGCTGGTGTTTGTGGTGGACAGCGGGGATGGGAAGCGGCTGGATGAGGCCCGCAAGGAGCTGCACCAGGTAATGGGACCAGTGAGCATTTGTCCGCTCACTTTTGGCATTTCACACCTAATTATTTCACTAATGTGTGAATAAATTTAAACTACTTAGATTATTAGTGCTGTTTTTTTTAACTATTCATTTGTTGTTTATGCAACAAGTTTTAACTTTCAACACCTAAAATGAGAAAATCTTAGTTTTTGAATGTAAAATCCTATATATGAGATGAAGCAGTGAATCCTTTTCTAAAGTATGTTAATGCACAGAGATGAATCAGTCTCATAATCAAACATAATCACAAATAAAGAAGCAAGATTTTACATATTTCTCAGGATTTAAGGTTCAATTAAGATTACATCTACAATGATTAGCCTTCAAATAATCAGTATGGCAAATAATTGTTTTTATTAATTAAATTAATTTCTATGTACTAATTATTTTAAAAATGACAAATAAACATTAATTGTAATTCTACTTTGCAAATTACATTTACAACTCAAGAGTGGGAGTTTATGAAAGAGAATTTAAAAAAAGATTTATGAGGAGTTTACGATCTCTTAATAGCTTAAAGAAATGGGTTTTATGAGTTAAAAGTTATATTAATTTGAAGAAAGGAACAAGGACAAGGATTTCAGTATTGAAATAAACTTTGAACCATCAGTTTTCATCAGAAGAACCAGAAGTGGTAAAAGTGTAAACAGTGCTTCTCTGGATCAGATTAAGATATTTATGTTCTCTGAAATGATTATTGTTTCCGCATCAAGGTTCTCTCACCTTAGTCCTTCTCTCTGATGAAAGGACAGACATGCAGCTGTGGAGAAAAACAATCCAAAACAAACATTTTTGAAGAACACAGCACAAAATAAGACAAATGTGACCAGATTGTCACTCTCTGGTTCTTTGTGTTACTGTCTGAACATTTCTAAAACCTTGTTAACAGCTAGAGCTTCCAGAGGAGGAGTCATCAGGGGGTAACAGATCAGCCAATCAGAGACAAACTTGAAAAACCATAAACAGCCAAGGAAAAAAAATAAATTCAGTATATTTTTTTCTGTTCTAAATACATAAAATGAGATAATTTATAGGAGAATGTTGACATCTATTGACAACCATTCATGTCAGGTCAAAAACATTAACACGTTGGAGATTCAGGGAGACTTACTGCATAGGTGAGAAGTTGTGACTGGATTTAAACGATTCAGCAAAGGATCTGGAAACAATTATTGTTGTTGGTAAACAATTTTAAAAAGGGCTCATATTACAAAGAATAGAAATATAGCTTCTAAGTGGTCGGATTTATTAAAACTTGGTATTTCACGTCACAATAATAGTGTATTCTCCTTTACATTTTAGATCTTGAGAAACCACAGTCTAAAAGGAGTTCCCCTTGTGATTCTGGCCAACAAACAGGACCTTCCAGGAGCGCTGAGCCCAGAAACACTCTGCCAGAAACTGGACCTGAGGAGAGTGTGTGACGGCAGAGTGTGGTTCATCCAGCCCTGTTCAGCCACCATGGGAGTGGGTCTTGAAGAAGGTTTCAGAAAGATGGTCTATCTAATGAAAAACCCACTGAGACAGACTCAAGAGGACATTAAGATCAAGATGAGGTCGAAAGGATTTAGTTTCACAGTAATCAAAAAAGCTGTTGTCTGTGGCAGCTGATGGTTTTTATGCCTTTTTTTTTTTTTTTTTTTTTTTTTACAAATGTTTTAGGTTTCTAATTTGCAAATGGCGATGAACTTTAGTTTTGTATAGTACATCAATCAATAAAGATTTATATACATATTTATGCTGATTTTTATTGAGTTGGTGATTCGACTCAACCCAAAATATGTAATTTAGTGTTAATGTGTTCTTATGATGTCAGTAGATTGGATAAGAAGACCAAAGAATTTGGACAACTTCCATATAACTTTCACTTTTGAGCTACGAAAATAAATGTACTTTTTAATTTTACTCCAATTTGAAGCACATGATTATTTTCTGAAATATTGGGATGTTTAAATGTTTTAAAAACATTTAAACATCCCATATATATATATATATATATATATATATATATATATATATATATATATATATATATATATATATATATATATATATATAAAAAAGATTGCGTGGGCATTACCCATAAGGTGTGGCGCTCCCACCACCCAGACGTGAGCAGAGAGACCAATGAGAGTGAGGGGGATTTCCCCACCCTTCCTCTACGCCAGAGCGAGGCTGCCCTCCACCACCCGGCATTCCCAGTATGCACCGCGGACAGCAGCAGTAGAAAATAGTCAGCTAACGAAAGGCTACGAAAAGAGAACCAGAAAAGGGGGTAGCTCACCAGCTAAATTCAAGAGCCTAACTCTATTCAACGTTACCCAGAAGCGCTAACATGGCTGACAACGAGAAACTGGACAACCAGCGGCTGAAGAATTTCAAGAATAAGGGCCGAGATTTGGAGGTAAAAGTTGTGCCGCTGATAGGAGTCTCCGCTTACGGTCGGCGCTGCCGCCGCCAACGCTGCTGCGTTCACGGCCACCGTTCGCCTCTCTACTCCGCTGTGACGTCGTTTCTAATTCCCACTCATCGGGGAACTCTGGTGCCTGAACCCGGTCGGGGCCTTCACTTATAACCCAGTGGAGACGGCTGACCTCGCCGTGGAGGTCTCCACGTTTGGGTTTTTGGTTTCGTTATCCCAGCAGACCGCGCTGCTTGTTAAACATGTCAGAAAAGCGTCCGCTGGGTGAGCTAGGCCCGCTGGGGGCATGCTAGCTCAACTGAAGCATATCATTTCCCGATTCCTTTTTGCTCGGTGTCAAATGTAACCCATATAACTAAAAGTATATACAGTAAATGTAAATGTTTAATCTACTGGAATAGAAGTATTCCCCTTATAGCTTTGTTAGCATGACAGCAGATTAACGTCATTTTAGCACTGCAGCAGGCTAACCTGCTTAGCTTGGTAGTAGCTGCAGTTCCACCCATCCCCCGTCCCGATAATCAAAAACAATGGCGGAAACCAGTTAGCTTCTTAGCTGCCCTGTTACGTTGCTGTAAAGTCGGTGTAAATAATTACGTTTTGACTACGTGTTTAAATTGCGTGCGCTTAAATCCCAAATATCTACTTTTTTTCAGTTGGAATGATTGACAGATGAAAGCTAAACATGCTAGCTGTTGTCGGATCAATACATAGCCAGGTGATTTACAGTCAGCTCGGCGTGTCAGGGTCTCATGGAGGCCGGTGGGTGTCGATATTCGTCTAGATCGGCTCACTGGTGGTGTGTATGATTCCGAAATACTCATACATCGTGTTTGACAACTACTTTCTGTCAGTGAGACGGGGCTCAGGGGTCATGTCGTCTTTTAGCGTGGTAGCAACTATACATTGAGGTATGTAAATATTGAACACGCCCTTTATCTCTGAGCAAGCACCTGGTCACCAACCAAAACTATCTGGTCATTTAAATGCCATTAAATGTATAAGTGGCCTTGTGTTTAGACACACATGACTAAATTTAATTCTGGCCACAAGTGAAACACCAGATCAATTATGATTGTTCTGAAATTCACACAACTTGAAATAAAACAGGTCCAATTCAGAATCAGAAATGATGTCGGCAAATAATAAAATACAGTCTTCTCGTATGCAGATTAAAATTCAATACCTACACCCCTAATCAATCCTTGCTGAAGTACAGTGCAGGCCATTTTGGTTTAAAATGTAGTTTAGTGAAAAATCATCCTGATTAATGATTTAATCAGCATTTCAGTTGATTAGATCATTGCCATCATTGTCTTTGAGGCAAACTATTCTCCAGTGGAAGCATGTGGCGGGTCTGTTGAGTTGAGCAAACTGTTGGCAGTGCTGGAAAGGAACGATTCTTTAAACGTCTTACAGAAACGTCTTACAGAACCGGTTCAGTGTGAGCGCGTGTCCGTCTGCCACGACCGACTGAAGAAACATGAGAAGACTCAAAATATAGACTTTCATATCCTTCAGGGATGATATCCCAGCTTCACACTAGTATGCTTTTCCACCAAAGTTTGTAATAAAATGTGCAACATTGTATTACCGATTTTAGTTAAAGCAGAAAAGCAATAATTTTTCCAACTATTGCTACAAAAAACATACTAATTATTACAGTTATTGTAATGTTGTTTATATATTTTGGTATTTATGTGTAGAATTAAACAAAAATAAGCAAAATTTTATAATAAACACTCAAAAGTTACTAATTACAGAGTGACACCAATATACTAAACTGATGCTAGGTTGTGAATTAGTCCAGGTATTTGCATGAGTAGTCAGCCTGCAGCACACTTCTTACCAAACTTATTTATTATATTGATTCACTACATGTAAAGTGAAATATGCAAAGCCTTTATTTCTTATGATTTTTAATGGTTATACCATACAGACAATGAAAATCCAAAGTTCACTGTCAAAAACTTACTGTGAAAAGTAAAGCATATTAATTTCATAGAAAGCTGAGTGAAAGGAAAACTTGTGGAAGGTAAAGGTGCATCACCAACAAGGATAACTACAGCTTGGATGATTTTTTTTTAAATCCAAATCTACTCCATAATTTGGGGGGATTCACAAGGAGTCGACATCTAAAGAGACAAATCCCACATGGGCTACAAACATCATATTCCTCATGCCACGCCAATTCTGAACCAAAGACAAACGTCAGGAGCGTTTCTCCTGGTCTGAGGAGAAAAAGAACTGGACTGTTGCTCAGGGGTCCAAAGTTCTGTTTTTAGGTGAAAATAAAGTTTTCATTTCTCTGGGCTGCCATCACAGCTCAGCAGAACCACAGGCCGATCGCCTCCATGCCATGCCGCACTGATGCAGTAAATTCATGCAAGCGGAGCCCCATTAATATAATGAATGCATCGAAGAGAACATACTTTTCAGAAGCCTAACATTTCTGTTTCTAATTTTAGAGTTAGACTTTCTGAAAAGGGTGTCGACAAACTTAAAATGTTCACAATAATCAAGTTTCTCGAGCTGTTCCTGTAGCTCCATGCAGTCGAGGAAAGTTCCCATCACCTTTTTGGTTTCTCTTGCTTCACATGAAGAAAACTTTAAACCATAGATACATAAAACTATTAAAAACCTCAATATACTTTATTTACGTTTGCACTGGGTAAATATTAATTGACAACTGTTGTCAATACGTATTTTAGACTCGTTCAGTCTTTGCGGTGGAGTCGTATCTAAATCATAGAAATTCATCTGTTATTGCAGATTAAAATATTTACTAAGTGAAAATATCCCGTCTCAAGTTGCAATAGGTCATTATGGCTTCGTATGCCGTGTCCAGCTGTAGAGTTTAACTTTGCTGTACGATCAGTGATTTTGTATCATTTTTACTTTTATTGGTTGAGATTCTTCTTGCAGTCTAATGTTCATATGTTTTCTGCAGACCATGAGACGACAGAGGACCGAGGTAGTGGTGGAGCTCAGAAAGGTAATCTCTCGGTCTTATTGCATCGCCAACTAAAACTACCCAGTTAGACAGTTTTCTGTGTCTAATCTGAGAGCTTATAAATATTTCAGAGTTTTTATTAAGTACTTACTCTGTTCGTTTCGCCGCAGCACAAAAGAGATGAGCACCTCCTGAAGAGGAGGAACGTTCCCCACGAAGACGTGTGCGAGGACTCCGATGTTGATGGAGATTTCAGATCAGTACGTTTTTTTATTTTTTATTTCTCTGTTTTCAGTCTGGTCGTTGTCTAAAAATCCACTCAACAATTTTTGTCTTAATATTTGAATTTGTGCTGCTCATGTGAGGCTTCTTTGGTACTTTGAGAATACATCACTGTTCAGAAATAATCTCATGAGATTTACCGACGTAATCAAAGTGTAAAGTGTAGCCAACCTCGTCCCTCTTGTTCACGTTTAAATTATTCCTTTGTGGACGTTGTGAACGGTCTATAAAAACAGACTGAAATCATAGGTATTAATAATCAGTTTTCCTTTTTTGGGTGTTAAGTTTACCATCAGAACTTGAACTATTCACTGTATACTGTTTTTAGGGATTATTTCCACCAAATAGTATTCATTTGTACTAGAGTTGTGCAATGTATCGAATTTCTATCATTTTCGCAGCATCAAAAGGAATCACAAAGGCAGCAATATTTAGTCAGCTAATATTTTAAGTCACATGCATTACTACTGCATGCCAATGGTATATTTGGCCAGATGAAGGGGATTTAGCTGCACAATCAGTACAGATTGAAGTGACTGAGCTGAGTAGTGGGGTGAAGAAGAGAAGAGAGAGGAAAATGGAGATAATTGTGACAGTTTTTGCCAATTATGCTAATCTTCCAGTTTTTTTAAATATTGCGCAGCCCTAATTTTGCTGTTGCATCATAAAACCGTCCGTGGCCGTCTTTCAGAACATGCAGTCGAGGCGAACATCAGAGCGGTCTGTGTTGCACACTAAAAATGTCACGGGGTGGCGGGGGAGGAGGGAGATCGATCAGGACTCCCACCTTCAGTAAAGGTCTCTGGGTTTGGTGGCATTGTGGGATTAAAATGTCCACTCAGCTGTTGAGAGTCAATCACTGTAACTACTTTACGGTGCTGAAGGCTGCTTTTGGCAGTATATCAGCAAAAGCCCACTGGTCAGACTCGGTGAGAGGCTTTAGAGAGGCCTTGTCCCTGCTGTGGGAATGTTGAAAGGCGTCTACAGTAATGCCTGGGTTATTTTTTCTGACACATTTGTTTTTATTCATAAATCTTTTTTTTTTTTTTTTGCTTTATGGAACTTTTCTGCCAGGCAAACACTTGAGTCACCTGCAAACATAATCATTGCGTTCTGTGACTTAAGGTGGCTGCGGCTTCGGCTAACAAGCCGCTGGTTAGTTTTTGTAAAGTGTAAATATATCGCAGGTAAAGTGTAAATTTAGCACCTTTTGGCTGGATAATGTTCATCTTCTCCATTGGCTCACTTCTGTTGTCAACTCGTACGATGCTGTTTTCATTCTGTGCTAAAAGGCTTGTCACTACTACTATAAATTTCAGACAAAGGTCTTAAATTTCAGTGTTGACGGTCTTAAACAGGTTGTTGTGTTTACCTGAATCTCTTAGCGCATTGTCTGTTTGAAGTAATGGTTTCAAATGACCAATCTGACTGGAGGACGTTTCATTTGCACGCTAACAACCAGTAATATAAAATATTATATCTATCTTCTGCACATAGTCTGATTTAACGAGTTCAAACGTAATAAGAGTTTAGTGACTCAAACGGGAAACATAACCCCAATAAGTGAACAAGGGTCTAATATGAATCCTCAGACAACGTCATATTTCTAGATGAAATCACTGGTGACTTTTGATCATTTTATAGTCACCATCATAATTCCTCAGGAATACTTAACTACCAGGAGAAATAAACTGATTTTCAGCAGTATTTTTGTTATATGGGTAGGCAGAGTAGAAATGGAAACAAGTTTGTGTAAAATTGGGGTGTGAATGGATCCTAGAACTCTGTCAGATGGCAGCAATCTGATCTAAAAGAGAGAAGTCGAGGTCAGTGGGTGATAAAAGCTGAGTATCCCCGCAGCCTTAAAAAGTGTTAAGTTCATGCATCTAAAATTAAGGCCTCTAAAATGTCTCAAATTAATTTTTAAAAAGTTGACCTTAAATACTTTAATCACGATTCTTAAATTTTGCATTGACAGAACTATTTAATCTCGTATATATATATATATTATTTTCTCGCTGGAGTTTTCAGTCAGGCAAATGTTTGGGTCGCACTAAGACGTCTTAATTTCATGCTATGACTCAAGACGGTTGAGGCTACCGCTAACTAGCTGCTAATAAACCCTAGCTAGCTTTGTGGGTTTATCACGAGTAAGTGCAAATTTGTCACTAGTTGGCTGGAAGAAATTTGTACATTTCTGTGGAGATATAGGTCTTAAATTCAATTCATAAGTCTTGAAAAGGCATTAAAAAGTCTTAAAATTGACTTGGTAAAACCTGTAGAAACTCTATAAAAAGGACGATTAAGGTGCCCTGTATTTGGTGAAGTTTGGTGTAGAAAACATCTGTTGAAGCGAAACGTCAGTGATGTTTATGTGTCTGTGCTCCTCATTAGCTTATAATATGCAAAACGTCAAGAGGCCTTCTTTGTTCACTATTTGTCAGTAAACGCACCATGACGACCTTTCAAGCTTCCCTCTTATTCTGGTGTTTAATGTTTAACACGTTTTATTTTACATCTCTTCTGAAGCTAATCTCTGTAATCTTCTTTTGCAGCAAAACACCTCTCTTGAAACAATAGTACAAGTAAGTTTTCAATATTTTAAATTCATTTCTGGGTTATTCAGTCAGGCATTTTTAAACATGCAGCAACGTTGGAATATTTTAAAACTGTTCAAATCAGTGCCAGTAGGAAATTGTATTGCGCCTTTTAAATCGATGTATTTATTTCTTTTAAATGCAGTACTGCTCATATAGTTGCTATGTTGACTTGCAGAATGCCACCAGTGATAACCAGGGCATCCAGCTGAGTGCTGTTCAGGCTGCCAGGTAAGGAAACGCAGCTCATGTCTGTTTACATTTCTACTGTTAGCATATCATTAAATTATTCTTGTACGATTACACAGTAAGATATTTTTACCAAAGCAGTCTGAAAACTAAATGAAGATATTTCAGGATTTATGTTTCTGTTCAGTTGATGTTTGGTCTAAAAAGTCACATGTTGCACATTATAGTTAAAAACAAGCAGGACTTTGCAGCCATTTAACTTCACTGATCATCCTGCTGAGGGTTTGTTTGCCATGTAAAAAGAGTTTTTGCTCGACTGTAACAATGATTCACATCTGCCACGCAGGTGTATTTATAAGCTGCTGATTCTGCACTTGGACACCATCGCTTTTATTTTCAGCAAGCCTTTTGGTTATGGCTGATTGGCTCTTGTAAAATGGTGTTTCAGTGTTGCAGTCTCAGAGCCTGACAGTTTTTCCCAACCCAGCAGTCAGACTCATCTGTTTAATGGATGCTGGAAAAGGCCATGCATTTCTCTCATGTCGCCCTTTAGAAGGGGAGCGGAAAGCTGCCAAAATTCATAATCGGATCAATCTCCTTCACATTTCAGGAGTTTTTTGTTTTTTTGTCTTTTCTATAATGCTATGCTGTTGATGATTTGGTTTTGTTGTTTTGAGTTCTAAAAACAGAGCTCATAAACATTGTCTAACAGAACAGATGGGTTTCAGAAATGCTGTTAACTTTGACCACACTGCAAAAACACAAAGTCTTACCAAGTAGTTTTAGTCTCGTTTCTACTACTAATATCTTGGTACAATTGAAATGAGACAAAACTAACTTACAGGTAACTTTTTTAGCAAAAATAGAAGCTTGTTTTCAATAACTAATTCCTTAATATTGATTTTTTTAAAAAGTATGAATCTGCAGGCAGATTATTTCACATAAACAATACAGTTTCCCATGTTAAAAAGTGAGCTAATCTGCCAGCAGAACTAGTCACCATGTCAGAGTGTCTTGGGTTAAATCAGGACGAAACATTTGCTAAACCCAGTAGCAAATCATCAACCCTGATGATTCTGGTAGCCGTTTCTCTGTTGTGATGTTTGCTTTATGCAGGACAAGCAGCTTAAATTTATGCATTTAAGCCGCTTTAAAGCTGTAATTTTATTTTTTAAACTTTTTTAATACTTTGACTTGCACTCAGACTCAACTTGAGACAGTTGAGACTATCGATAAACTATCTGCTAATAAACCTTTGCTAGCTAAAGGAAAGCAAAGGTAGAGCTAGCTAGCTTTTTTACAGCCACTTTGGATAAATGTAAATCTACATTTATCAGTCGGCTGGAGGATGATCGTCTTCACCATTGGCTCACTTTTCTTACCAACCCAAATTATTTATGTGTTTTCCATTTTCTTTTGTACATTTATGTTGTGATAAAAGACTTATTTTCAATTCCTAATGATCTGAAAAAGTCTTGAATGTGCGTTGGTGAAACCTGCATAAACCCTGTTTGTAATTTCACAGGAAGCTGTTGTCCAGTGACCGTAATCCTCCCATAGATGACCTGATTAAGTCTGGGATCCTTCCCATCCTGGTGCACTGCCTGGACAGAGATGACAAGTAAGCTAGCTGCTTTTCTGTCTGCGCATCTGCCTGCAGTAATGACTCATGCTTTATTTTCCTTCCCTCCAAGTTTGTGTTAATTATAGTCAAGGTTAGCCTCATTCCTTGGTCCTGTTCAGTGTTATGCAGATGAGCTGCTTGGATTTCGTCTGACTCATCCGAACAGTTCTGCTGTTATGCAAAAGTGCTCTAGTTTTTCCAAAGAAAGTCAGCGACTAATCATCCTGCTGATATTGTCGAACTCTGCTGCCTAGTCCCACCTCATCAATCGGTCCATCTTGTTCCCCTGCAGCCCGTCTCTGCAGTTTGAAGCAGCCTGGGCTCTAACCAACATCGCGTCGGGTACCTCAGAGCAAACCCAAGCTGTGGTTCAGTCCAGTAAGTTCAATTCTGCCACAGACATCAAATCCTTTTATTTCCACATTGTTTGATTTGTTCGGATGAACAATAGGATCGACCCGGAGAAAGTTTGTCTGTGTTTTTAATTCTCCCAGGGTAGAAGGAAAATCACAGTATTTATACTGATATTTGTAGAAACAGTATGACAGATTTTTTATTTATTTTTTTAAACTCTGCTAATTACGCTCTAAAAGTGATATCCCACCCATATCTAACGTAGTTGAGAGATTTTTGGGATTGTTGCTGTTTGGAAATTAGGTTTCCAACCAAAAATGAACAGAGGGTTTATCTTTTAATAATTTGTCACCCTGAAGCTTTTGACCAACTGTTATTTCCACGATTCGTTTCATTTCTGGAAACTGCATAAAAAGCAGATTTTCTGCAGGATCTTATAACCTTCAGTTTAGTTATATTATTTGTAAATCTTTACCTTTTCTTTTTTTGATATGTCCATATTTTCCACACTGACTTTTTAACGAATTCAGTTGCTTCTTGAATAGGGATGCAAATAAGGGTTTGTTCTGAAAATGAAAATGGTTTAATTCCGGTTTAGAGAATTGAGGTCAAAACATTATAATTCAAACATTAAAATATCACCCACTATGAGCTTCTTGGTCATGATGAAATGGAGATTTAATATTTACTCCTAAACCAAACCCCACCGTCTGTATTTGCTGTGAAGTTTACTTTATATACTTAGAAGTTAAAATTAAGCAACCCCAAGTGTAAATATCATGGTGACGCATGAAAGATGAGTTGAAACAAAATCATATGGACCTGGCTTAACTTGTTAAGTGATTTCAATATAATATGCAAACTAATTTGTTTTCTGAATTAAGAAACTGTGTGGGCTTTAAAGGGTCTTAATATCTTCTATTGACTTCCTAAAACTTGGAGAAACCCTGGAAAATATGTAGTAATTTTCAAAATATGGCTCATAGATTTGATTCCTGGCCTAATGCATGAGTTTCTCTTTGGACACCGAAACCTACTGCATGGATTAATTTTTAAAAGGAACCTCATAAATTTTTACCTGAAGAGTTTAGCTTTTTCTTATCATGTCACAGCTCTGCAGGTAGCACCATGTTAACGATGCTGGTGGGGTTATTAGTGCTGGATTGTCCTGCGGTTCCGAGTGAATCCAATGGGAAAATCTGATGTTGAAACACTGCAGGCGGCTCGTTAGATAATGATTGCATGTCTAAACCATATACTTGGTTTCAAGCAGCCTGTTTGAAGTGTTTAACTTGCCAGAAGCTACTCTGAGGTGTGAATGATAAAGTAACGGCTCTTTTAAGCAGAACTTTCAAAAGATATTGAACCCAACCTGAAGTAGACGTGTGTTTATTAGCCGTTCGGTTCTCCTCTGCAGACCTATAACTATGTAAACAAGACTTACATCTTCTGAATTAAGCTAGAATATACTTTTTGCTTTGGCATGTCTGTGTAAAGACTTGTGTACTCAGACTTCTGTCTTCATCACAATCTGTTTTGTGAAGACGCCGTGCCGCTGTTCTTGAGGCTGCTCCACTCTCCTCACCAGAATGTGTGTGAACAGGCCGTCTGGGCCCTGGGAAACATCATCGGTGAGTAACCACTGACTTCATCCTGTTCTCTGTTCACAAAGATTATGATGAGAAAACACGCATTTTATATTTGACAAAGGATGTCAGAAGGTGCAGCGTTTCCAAGCCGTATCGTTGTGCTCGTCCAAACCAAAGCAACCTGCCTGCAAGTGTTTTTTTGTTTGTTTGTTTGTTTTTTTTAACTTATTATGGTTCCTGTACATGTACTCAGGTGACGGCCCACAGTGCAGAGACTATGTGATTAGCTTGGGAGTGGTCAAGCCCCTGCTATCCTTCATCAGCCCCTCAATCCCCATCACCTTCCTCCGCAACGTCACCTGGGTCATGGTCAACCTGTGCCGCCACAAGGACCCCCCACCTCCGATGGAGACGATCCAAGAGGTGTGTGTGTGTGTGTGGGTGTGTGTGTGTGTGTGTGTGTGTGTGTGTGTGTGTGTGTGTGTGGAGATAAAATATGGATTTGGGCCGAGTGATGTCACTTAAAAATAAAATCTGACCTTTTTTTTAAATACCAAATTTGATTTCTGATTTTAATCAAATTTTTTCCCTCACTTTTTTCCTTAAAAAATATATGTATAAATGACAGAAAATATCTTAAAAACCGGCTTTTATTTCGATCATTTTTCCTTTGAGTCAACTTGAATGCTTGTCAAACAAAATGGCAATTTTTGGGTGAACTAACATCACTCTGAACTATGGAGACCCAAGGAATTTATAAATGAGTAAAAATCCAATTTTTCCAAAAATTAAATCTTCAAAAATGGGAAAATTTGATAAATTGATATAACCGTTATCACCCAACCTTTGTGTGTTTATAGGCACAATTATTTTGTTGCTTATCGGGACGACATTATTTTTTGTGGAAGTATTTTTTTGGGAAATATCTGTTTTATTTCAGAGACCCTGCAAATGGTGAATATTTTTATTTATGTTGCAAGAGCTCCTAACTGGTTTATCTGCAGGTCTCAGTCCTTTAAAGGACACCACAGCTTCACGTGAAAAGATTGAGTTGTGATCATGATTAATTTCTGTTAATCACCTGGTGAAGTTATAATCAAAGCGTTACTTATTTCCAGATCCTGCCTGCTCTCTGTGTGCTGATCCACCACACTGACGTCAGTGTAAGTAACAAATTAGTATTTTTATTTTTATTTTCTAAACCATTACAGATCAGAAGAGCAGCATAGAAAAATCATCTATTTTTTATTCTTTCCAGATCTTGGTGGATACTGTCTGGGCTCTGTCTTACCTGACGGATGCTGGGAACGAGCAGATCCAAATGGTCATCGACTCTAGCATCGTTCCTCACCTGGTACCGTTGCTCAGTCATCATGAAGTTAAAGTTCAGGTATGAAGAAGAACCAAGATGGTTTAGAGTCTACCATGTACCATGTACCAATCCTAGGCACAGCGCTGACAGACGGCGCCCCCTGCTGCTGCCTGGAACATGATGCACACTCCTTATACATTTGGGATGTTTGGCTGTCAGGCGAAAAATCAGCTGCTGTATCATAACTATTTAAATAGAAGCATTCTGTTCACAAAGTGTTGGGTTGTTCTTTATTCACTAGAAACTCCAACATTAGTCAGATCTGAACAGTTATTTCTGCTTCTTAAAAAACTTTGCAGCAACTTTACTTCTCTTCTCACTGCAACTACTTTCACACCTCCTCATCCTGTAAGTTTGTGTTTTTCGGTTCCTCTCCACATCCAGACCGCTGCGCTGAGGGCCGTCGGTAACATAGTGACCGGGACAGACGAGCAGACGCAGGTGGTCCTCAACTGCGACGCCCTCAGCCACTTCCCATCGCTCCTCACTCACCCCAAAGAGAAGATCAACAAGGTAAAAACCTGTCTCGTTTTCACGCCACACCGACAATCGTTGGAAAAACTCCACCTTTGGTATGGAAGTGATGAAATCTGAGACTTTGTGCAGGTGTGATTGTCATGTGTGAGAGGTTAGGGAGTAGTATTAGATAGCCAGTAGACTAGCCAGCAGGAAGATTTGTGAGGATGAAGACGGCGAAGAAGACCGGCCACTGTAGTCAGTGACAGATCAGGGTGGGCGGGGTTTAGCTGTGTGTGTCAGAGTGAATGTGTGTTCTCACGGGTCGGAGGAGTAAAGGGTGCTGAGAAATCTCTGCTGATATCGGAGTGCATCTGAGACCAGTCAGTAAAAAAACGAGGCCTCTTTTGTGACTGGACGATGATTAGAGCCTCAAATCACCCAACTCCCCACCCACAAGCACGCTCGTCTCAACCAGAGGTCAACTCATCCGGGTTGACCTCTGGATTCTGATCCACCTCATAAACACTTTTTATGAGTTTTAATTTTTTTGCAAGCCTTTGAACAGTTTATAAGTAGCATGTGACCAGTCTGTCAGGATTCATTCCTGTATTTGAACTCCTTGTCCTGTAGGAGGCAGTGTGGTTCCTGTCCAACATCACAGCTGGCAACCAGCAGCAGGTGCAGGCCGTCATTGATGCAAAGCTGGTTCCCATGATCATCCACCTGCTCGACAAGGTGCGGATCGTTTGCTTTGTTGTTGGGAAGACAATTTTAAATAAAAAATAAAATATGGTGCTTATGTTGAATCTATTCATTTCAGGGTGACTTTGGGACTCAGAAAGAAGCAGCCTGGGCCATCAGTAACCTGACGATAAGTGGGAGGAAAGATCAGGTAAAATGTCGTTGCTCATGTTAATACTTGTCCCTGTTGATTTTTTTTTTTTTTTTTACAAAACACCTACAGGCTCTCATTGATGCAAAGCTGGTTTGACAGCCTGGTGTGTTTCTCTGTTGAGTTAAAAAAAAAGTTAATTTTACAGAAAACGCATACGTTCATTCTGTAATTTAAGCAGTTTTATCAATTAACTTTGATTATAGCATACAGTTTTTCTCAGAAAATCTGAATGCCTTGTACCAATAAGAATTATTTAAATTATGTTATGGCCTGTATCAGGGGTTGTCACTGATTTTAAGGTCATGAATGTCTGTAAAGGGCCAGTTGTGGCAGAATGAAACTACCTATTAACAAACTTCAAATATTATAGCTTTATCTGCATAAAAAAGATGTTAAAAAAACAATTCTGAGAATGAAGTCATATGATTGACTTCATTTTCATAATATTGTGACTTGTCGTAATTTTATGACTTTGCTCTCATATTACTACGGCTTTATTCTCATACTGTTTCGACTTTATGTTCGTACGAGTTTAGGTTTGTAATATTCCGACTTTATTTTTGTGATTTTGTTTATTTTTTCTTAGTATGGCCCAGATACTCTCTAGACTCTAGATAGCAACTAAAGTATTTATGTAGGGCTGGATGTGACACATGTACGCAATCACATACAGGACTGACTGACATGCTTGGGTCAACGCTGAAAAAGATGGTGCACAGTACTAATTTTGTACATATTAATGGAAAGTTGAGTGGAAGGAAAACATGTACACCCAATTGTGGTAACTAAACATTTTTAGATGCACCTGTGTGTTTGAAAAAGTTATTGATAAATATAAATATTGTAGTTGCCATAATACACTTTGAAAGTGAATATAAATGAGTTCTTCGCATACAAAGACTTATTCCTCGTCTGAAATGTGTCGTCCCACAGGTGGCCCACCTCATAGAGATGCAGGTGATCCCTCCGTTCTGCAACCTGCTTACAGTTAAGGACGCTCAGGTCGTGCAGGTCGTTCTCGACGGCCTCAGTAACATCCTGAAAATGGCCGACGACGAGGCGGAAACTATTGCCAATCTCATTGAAGAATGCGGAGGTACGTTCAGCAGCCGCCGTTATCTCTGCACAGCTTTTGTTTTCATTTTAAACGTGGGATCACCTTTGACCTTTTATGTTCTGCAGGGCTGGAAAAAATTGAGCTTCTGCAAAATCATGAAAATGAAGATATCTACAAATTGGCATATGAAATAATAGATCAGTACTTCTCATCCGATGATGTAAGTGACAAAAGCTTTTTATTTTGTTGTTTTGTTTTTTTTCGCTGCTGACGGTCCGTTTCTCTGTTGCTTGTTCAGATTGACGAAGACACCAGCCTGGTCCCAGACGCCATCCAAGGCGGGACTTTCGGCTTCAACGCAGCCAACGTGCCAGCCAAGGGGTTCCAGTTCTAGACGTCACCCTGGGGGGGTTTATTCTGGAGTTTTGTTCGCGATGCAGCACCCTGTTCAACATAAACCAATTAGGAGAGAAAGAGCGAGAGAGAGCGAGTGTGAGAAATTCGATCCATTGTGCTTGGCTCGTGGGATCCATGGCTGCATCTTATCTGAGAGAGAAAAATATGTGGATTTCATTTGGCATTCCAGGGGGAAACCAGCCCAAATGAAGTTTGAGATGGCGAGTGGGTGCGAGTGAGAATGAGTGGCTACATGTTGCAAATGAATAAATAAAAAAAAAAAAAAAAGGGGAAAAAAATTTTAAAAGAAGCAAAACATCTACATCGATTGCGTTGAGAAGACACGCTGACGCAACTTCTGTTTTTATCGGAGCCGCCGCCGTCGACTTCCGGGAAAACTTCAAACGACGGAAAGAAAAGAAAAAACAAACCTTGGATGTGGATGGGAACCGTGGACACTTACCAATAGGAAATCAAGACATCTTGAAATATCTCGAGAAAAAAGCAGAAATGAATATAATTATGAACAGAGATGAAACACAAATCATCACAATTCTGCAATTCCCCCCCCCCTCCGCCACGAGAGGGCGCCACCTAGCCCCTCTCACCCCAACCAATCGGCCACGTCTATCAGACACGAGTGTGAATGGACTCATTGTGTATGAATGTCTGGACTCAGCGCAGAGGAGCCAGGTTCATCTCCTAACGAGAATGCCCTCTGATTGGGCGACCATCCTCAAGCCCCTTCCACCCCGCTGCCCCCTCACCTGTCTCTCCTCGAATGGGCGGGGCCAGGAGTCCGACTGAACGTATCGCGTGTGCGAGAGAATGGACGGATGAGTTGTGTGTGTGTGTGCGGGCGTGACTGGGAAAGTGCGCGTGTCTGGATGAGAGCGCATGCGGAGGCGGGAAAAAGACAAAAAAACCGACGACATCTTGAAGAGAAACGCAACACAGTACCGCAAAGGTCGCAGGAAAAATAATTTCTGCCTTCTGAACGAGGCCGATCCTCAAAGAACTTTGGAAAATGGAAAAAATAAATCATCACAAAGATTAATATTTGTTTTTTGTTCAGAATTATTATTTAGTATTAATTGACACTGGACATTGTTTCTGGGAAGCGTGGAGGAGCAGCAGCAGCGCATCGAATTAAGATGCTTTTGGGCTTTTCTTTTTGCCTCCAGTGTGTTCCTCTTTTCTTTTTTTTTTTAAATTAATTTTCAGCTTTTAGTTCCACCGCTTTTCTGTAAAGGTGAATGACGATGACCGTCTTATTCCATCCTTCCACCTGAACGCCAGACGTGAGCTTGATGCTGTGAAACCCGTGAACCAACCAGATCCTCCTGTAACCTCCTCACCTTTTCTTCATTTCGCAGCGTAGATCACCGCTTCGGAGTGCTGTCGCCACAGCTTTTGAGCACCGCCACGGGAGAACAAATCGATGGTCACGTCTCGTAGGATTATGAATCATAACCCTTGCATGTACCTAGCACAGTTATTTTTAGGGTAATTTTAGTTTCCTTAGGCTGTGAATACAGTGAAATTTTCATTTTGAGTAATACTGTGCTTAAATGTTACATGTGTCCCTTTGCCCACCCCCTTCCCCCACGCCCCACCCTCCTTTCTGCTCACTATTGTCAAATTTACTAAATAATCTGTATGGTTTTGCACATGTACTGCAAAGTGAGGCCTGGGTGAGTTGGTGGGCTCTGACCCGCCGCCGACCGCTTTACATTATGCATCACTCAGCCACAGTCTTTGTTGTCTTTCTAAAGTGAACTAATTATACTTTTTAGTGCTATTTGAGAATATAATTACTTTATTTCAGGAGCAGCAGTTGACGAATCTGCTGATGTATCTCAGCTTGACTTAGAGGGGATTTAACCTCGCTCCTCAAAAGGTCAAAGGTGTCCCATGTGTCAGACTGGAGCTGTTCAAAGCGGGTTTACCTGAATAATAAATAAACCCGTGAACAAGTTTGCTGTAACTTAAGTACCTTGCAGTCCTCTCCCTTTACCCCTTTTTGCTCTTCTACAAGCTAAATGTACAAGCTTAACCTCTTTTTTTTTTTTGTTTTGTTTTTTGTTAACTTCAAACACTGTAGTAATGATTATACATTGTGCTCATAAACCTTCTGTTGAACATAGGGGTACATTTTTTTTTTTTGTTTTTGTTTTTTGCAGCATTCCTTGTTAGCAAAGTGGTTTCAAATCTTAAAATGATGACCTGAAAGAATGGAGAAAGCCTAAAAACCTTTTTTTTTCCCAGGGAGAAATGAAGGTTAAAGGACAGGTTGTCTTCATAAAAATAAATAGTGAAACCCAAAGTGAGAGACTGAGTGTGGGTGTGTGTGTGTGCTCCCTTTGTGAAAAATCTAGACTAGTCTCGTTCCGGAACAGTTTGAGCCTGTGTGCGTTGCCATTTTACACATGTAGATTGTAATTTATATGTATATATATAAAAACCTTTTTTTACATATTTGTTAAAACTGTCACTTTGTGACTGTAAGGTATGTGACATAATCTGAGCACATGTCGGCTGAGTAATCAGCCGCCATATTCTGATTGCTGCAATCAGAATATGTTTGGAACATTGAACCTTCAGTACCTAGCATCATGTGCACCAAAGACAACATTAATGACATTAATTCTGCACATTATTCAAGTTCCACGAACAGGTCAATGTTTCGACTTGAAGTTTGATCATGGCTCGTTTTGTCACACTTATTCTGGTTCCTAAATGGGAACCATGATAAATGGGAACTGCGGAGGGGGGAACGTTTTCAGAAAATAATGCAATTGACGTAGAAATTCTTAATATACGTTGTGACTTTTATCTCCATAATGCATACCCAAGTAAAGATTCTTAATGGATAGGCTTCTTCACATAGCAAAGTGCCAAATAGTGCCACCGCTAGTTTCCAACTAAAACAGTTTCAAACGAGACGAGACGCTCCCTGATTGGCTAAACTGGCCGATTGACCGTTAATCCGCATGCGCATTATCGAAAATAAAAAATGGACACGGTCGGAAACGTATGCTCCGTTCAATATGTAATCGAAAATGGGAAGTTCCGAGTTCCAAGAGGGAGGGAGGTGCTATTCTGAAATTCGGCTCGTTTTAAAAGGTTTGTGTCCCGTCAAATGACATAGAATTGTACAACTTGACTGCATTTGTTTTGTGATTGAAAGAATATCGTGAAGATGAATGCAATGGTGCGCACCCGAAACGCCACAAAGATTAGCTCTGACTTCCGAGGCAAAATAAACGCAGCATATTATTCAAGGAACACCATAATGTACCTCTAAATTGATGCCTTTGTTGTTTTCAGTACGCTCCGAAAAATTGAGAAACGTTTTATACGTGAGCTAGTATTTTTTTTTTCTCACGTTACCTGGTTTTGGATGTTAACGCTGCTTCCGTGTTACGACCTCTCTATTTTGGAAATGCAAGTTTACTAGATGTGCATGAAAGCAGCACGAGAAGGAAGAGGAAAGGAACAGCAGTTGTGGATACTTTCCACTGAAAATAGGGTAAGTGTGAATGTTTTCTCCTAAAACATTTCTATATTATTCACATTTCGTTACCAAGCTGTAGACCACGGGGTGATTTAGCTGACTAATCACAAACCTGAAATAAGTTAACGTATGCAGTTTTGCGGATAATTAGAAGTGTTTCTAATTATCCGCAAAGGGTTACTGGTGGGAATTAACAGTGTGGTTAAGAAGGGGGGGGGGGGAAAGCAATATCTTTTATGTAAATGTCTTTAAACTGTGGTGTAGAGGAGGTTTGTGAGAAATAAAGATGTGGCTGTAAAGGCTATCCTGAAAATGCGATTAATGTTGAACAAAGCTTTGTTTATAACGCAGATTTATCCACAGCTGGACTCCTGCCAGCTGTTCAGATCAGTCCGGTGTTTGTTGGGTTGTGTGTTGTTTTTGGGGTGGTGGGAGCTGGCACTGGGCCTTTTATTGTCACTGTAGCTGCTGGCCGTAACAAGAGGAGACACTAAACAACATAACTGATCGAGGTAATATGAGCTAAGTGTTTTCGGCTGCCTTCTTGTTGCTAAAGCCAAATATTCCCAGGAACAAACTGGTGAATGTGGTGAGGCTTAGCTGCACATTTGCATTTAATTTTCTCTTTTGTAATCTAATCTCTGAATGCCTGGATCAATAAGTTACAAGCAACCTAGAGACACACACAGCTAATGATTTGGAGAGACCAGTTAAGGCAACAATCATATTTTTGAACAGTGTGAGGAATCCAGAGTACCCAGGAGAAAAAAAAAAACAAAAACACACATATGCATAGGGAGAACATACAGAAAGACCCCATGTCAATTTCTTTTTTTTAGCCAATAACCTTTTGGGAATCACCTTGTTGGAGCTAAAATACTACCTTATATCTATTTTTAATGTTGTTCATAGATTGAGCTAAAACAATAATACATATTTCCATAAGTATGCCTGGAAAAGCCTGAAAGTATCCCATTTAAAGTTGGTTCTAGAAGATGTCTGGCAACATCTGTGACTGGTCGGTTAATGAAGGATTCAATGAGCAGCTTAGCAAACAAAGACAAACAAACAAAACAAAAAAATCCCTGTCTAAATATCTACTGGGCTCAAAGGAAATCCTCCTCATAAAGGTCATTTGCTTTTTGTTTCCACCTGGGCTTTTTTTCCCCTCTAGGAACAAAAAGAGCGTTTATGCATGAAAAGTAAAGTCGTCTTCAGTCAGCCAGCCAGCTGACGCACTGCAAAGGATGGATATGGGCCAATTTCAAAACTGGACCTTTGTTTAAAATGTTGATATAACATATCATCCGTTGTAGCTGCCATTTAAAATTGCTCTGTTGCTAGAAGATGTCTGGTATGTGTAACGACAACACGGGCCCAACCCCTCAGCAGCTCAGCAAACAAGCAAGAACAAAAAAAAAACAAAAAAACACACCTGCTAAATCTGGCCAGGTGAGAGACAGAAGCATCCAAAGTCCTTGAGCAATATCAGAATGAGACAGTTTATAAATGTTACAGACATAAGGATGACTTAATGTTCTGCACAGTACCACATGTAAAAAGTGTGGAAAGATATTAAAATAATATAGCCTAGTTAATGTTCTGAAATCTAAAAAAACATGTTTGAAACCTGAAAATCTCAAAAAGTCAAGCAGAGTAAGGGTAAATGTGCCAAAACAGAAGTTTTTATGATTGAAAATAATAAAACACTGCATTTAAAACCCAGTTAAGAAACTTTAAAGGTTACTGCAGTTAAGGGAGAAATGCTTACAGGGTCAGCCATTTTGAAAATCATCACCTTCCTAAAGTAATGGCTCAAGCAATTTAGGCGAAAGAAAAAGAAAATCACTTTTGGCGACGGAAGTGACACTGTTTTGTTGTTTTCATTTTACCAGTAAAAATCAGAACCGAGCCAAAACCTACTCAACATTCTCACTGTTGTTTTACGAAGCAGCACATTTTGATTTTTTTCTTCTTTTTATTATGATTGTCAGCTTTGTATGACAAGTGTTTTAAATTGCGCCCAAACTCAGATTCTACTGATTTTACCTTTTACGTTTGTCTTTTTCCTCCAATCACACATCGAGTTCTTGAATTCCTCCCGGCAGGTGCGACCCCGTGGCGTCCCGTCCGCCTCCAGCGATGGACAGCCTGGAGGAGGACCTGACCTGCTCCGTGTGCTACTCGCTGTTCTCCGACCCGCGCGTCCTGCCGTGCTCCCACACCTTCTGCAAGAGCTGCTTGGAGAACCTGCTGCAGGTGTCCACCAACTACTCCATCTGGCGCCCGCTGCGCCTGCCCATAAAATGTCCCCACTGCCGCAGCGTGGTGGAGCTGCCGCCGAGCGGCGTGGACGCGCTCCCGTCCAACGTGTCTCTGCGAGCCATCGTCGAGAAGGTGAGGACGCGTTCGGGGTGAGATGTTCAAACTAAAAAAAAAAAAAAAAAAAAAAACGAAAAATTTTCACCCCGTTTTGCGCCTTGCCGTTTCAGTACCAGAGGGACAGCGAGCCGCGGGCGCCGTCCTGCCAGGAGCACTGCAGGCAGCCGCTCAACATGTACTGCGTCCAGGACCGGCAGCTGATCTGCGGCCTGTGCCTGACCGTCGGCCAGCACCACGGTCACCCCATAGACGACCTGCAGGCGGCCTTTGTCAGGGAAAAACCAACCCCGGCGCTGCTACTGGCCAGACTCTCAGAGCAGAAGTGGAGTCAGGTGGGAGGCGTCGGGGGGGCTCGAGTGGCCCTGTGGGTGTCTGTGGGGGAGAGAGGCTAAACCGTAACGCCGTCCCGCCGTGTTTCAGGTGTGTGAGCTGGGGGAGCAGCTGGAGCAGGAGAAGGCGCGCTGCGACGCTCTGCTGAGGCAGGACCGGCAGGAGGTCAACCAGTTTTTCGTGTCTTTAGAGGAGGTGCTGGCCAGGAAGAAGCAGGAATACCTGGAGGCTCTGAGCGAGGCTGCTGCAGAGGTGGCCGTGACCTACGACCCCCTCATCCACAGAGTCAAGGAGCTCCAGGTGGGTAAAGCCCTGCCACAACGAGCAGTCAGTCGGTTAATTTCATGACAAATTAAAGTTACGAGCGCGATCATTTTCATTCTGATGGTTAATGTTGTTTGTTGCGCAACTTTGTTCAGACATCCTAATTCATTTTACTTATGGTTTTGGTTATAAGTGGGTTTTAATTTTCTTTATTGTTTTTTAGTGTGGATATATAAAAGTGCCAGAGTGAAGTAATTTAGAGTTTAGGCGAACCTCCACTATGTCATTATCAGCGTATCACTTCAAAATGGCCTGGAAACAACAATATCGTTTATCACAATAATTTCTGTGACAATTTATCGTCCAGCATAATTTTATTCTGGTGACTGGCCTAGAAGATGGAGATGCAGTTTGTGGTCAGTAGGAGGACATTTTTGTTATTATTATAATTACTTTTTGTATCATCTAGCAATTAAAGTAAAGGAATCTTTTATCAAACCCACAATGTGATCATAGCAGGAAAACAGTCCTACGTTTAAAATGTTTTCTTAACTAAACAAATGGTACATTTATTGAGACTCTGGGACCTCTCGTGTCTGCAGATTGACGGAGAAGGTCAACAAATAAAGTTGATTTAAGTTTGATGAATCATTTCAGTGTTCATTTGAGCCATATATCTTTGGAATATTTTCAGTTTTCTGGGTTTTTATTCACATGGATCATGATGGAGTGCCCTCTCTAACAAGGAGAAAATGGCCCTCAGCATCACAGATCCTCCACCGTACTTGCCAACGTATAATTTAGATTAATGGATGGATGATTGAAAGTGGCCTTTGAAATACATGAAATATTAAAAATCAAAAAAACTATAAAAATCACACTGATTTTTAAATACGGTATTGTTCAGACAAAAATTGAAAATGAATAAAAAATAATGTTGCCAATTTTTGCCAATGATTAGGAAAATGCAATGAGAAATGTATTTATTTTAGTGCTTGTTACACATTTCTATGAACTGCCAAGAAGAGTTTAGAGAGTCAGAACATCTAAATTTTGCACTGATAATAAATCAAATCATCCACTTTTCAATTTATTTTTTGTTTTTAATGGTTCTGTGTTGCTTTAATTGGTTGGCTGGTCTCAGGAGGAGCAGCTGGACCTGGTGTCTCTGGGGTCGTCTGTGGAGGAGGAAGACTCCCCCCTGGTGTTTTTGGAGAAAGTCCATCAGTTCAGAGATCGGGTGGAGAAGTTCATCAGAACCCCGCTGCCCTCCGGGATCAACCTGTCGGTGACGCCGCGCGCAGCAGCCTACCTGCAGCAGAACTGGCCCGCAGTGACCATCAGCAGCCTGGAGCAGGCGCCGGTCCCCAAGCTGCGCTGCTGCACCAGATGTGATGGTGGCATCGGGACAGAGACCGAAGCAGAGGCAGAGCCGCCCGTCACAGCGGCCTGGGACCGGTGGCGCCAGCTGCAGCCCACCGCTTCCGTAGCTCTGCTGGGCCTGCTGCTGCTGCTGCTGGCGGCGTTGTGGGCCAACCCGGTCGGAGGCGCGTCGCTCGGGTTCTCCCTCCTTTCCCGCCTCAGTCAGCTGGCCCAGAGTCTGAGCGGCAGCCTCGTCACATCCGTGTGGGACACAATGGAGGCGGAGTGCGCAGCGATGGGGGCTGCAGTGCAGAGGTGGGGCTCGCAGCTGTCTGTGCTCAGAGACCGAGTCGTTCAGCAGGTGGCTGCTTTATTTAAAACGTCGACGTCTCGCTGAGGAAGGCTGAACTGGAAACCAATCTGTCTGAACGCGGTGCAGTCTCGTTTCCCCGTTCCAAAGAACCAAAACAGCCTCACTTTTGTTACTTTCTAAACATCTGCTCGTTCCGATTTTGCATTAACAGGTTGAAGTTTCAACATTTAAAAACCAAAACTACGTTGTGTTTTGTTTCTAAACAGCAACAGTTTTTTTTTTGTCTTTTCAGCAAAACAGGAATTTAATTAAGCCAGAACCTCTTCTGCTCATTTCCTGTCAGCACAGTTAGGAGATGAAGAGGAGAAATGCTGCAGCAGCAGATGTGCAGAAGGTTTTTTGTTCATTTCCTGAGTGTTTCACTCTATAATCACACATTATGTAGCAATATTCATTTTTGCTAAGTGTTACTTTCTTTTCATTATATTACTTCCGCTCATAATAAAAGAAGCGGGAACTTGCATCAGACTTTTCCATGACATTATGGGATACGTTGCATGTGGAACATATCACACTAGACTGTTTACAAGTAATGGACGAATGTGTTACATAAGGAGAGACTCCCAATCCGTGCCTTTAATTGTCCTGCCTTCCCATTTCCTCCAGGACCAGCACTTTTTTTTTTTTTTTAAAGGAAATGGTGCATCTCAACAACCTGCCTCAGAACAAAGTCCATCATGGCGCCTTGCTGGTTTGATGCAAACTGGGATTTTGAAATGTGGCAAAACCACAGCACACAGCCCTCTGAATCAAAATAAATGTAAACTGTAAAAATATGTTGTAACCTGTAGTTTTTTTTTGTTCTATATATGTTTTAAATATTTGATAACTAATGCAATAAAATGTGCAGAATTACATCTTTAAGGCTTCCATCAGACTGAAATCTGCATATTTCAGACTATCACGCCATGTGCTGCCACCTACTGGACAGCTAGTGCAAGTTCATAAATGACACCTTCAGATCATCTCGCCGGTCCAATATGAAGACATCTTTACAGGTTAAGAAAAATAAACTAAAGACATTTTAATTGTTGCAATCAGTCTCTCAATTCATTCATTTTTTTTAATTTTAGAAACTGAAGACGACAGTAACTATATTAACATTTTACAGCTGCGGCAGCTTCCTAGATATTGCATCGCCCTTCCACCGTGATCTATAAAGATCCACATATCCGCTTTACATTGGTGGCATGTTCTGCATTTCAGTTTGAGTTCCTACACACTGAACAATTGACTTAGTTAAAAATGATATTCTACCAATGGATTTCTGACTTTCAGTCCTTAAAGTGAGCTAAAGTTTAGGATTTTTCTCAAATTCTGAGGCGTCAAAACATGAAAAAAAAAAACAAAAAAAACAAAACAATGTATAGCAAATCTGTCAAACCAGCACTAAACTATTATGTTAGAAGAATCAGATTTCAAGAGGTCAAAATATCTCCTTTGCCTTTAACATTTCAGTTTATTGTAAATCATGATAGCTGGAAAAGTTAAGAGCATTGAGCCAATATTGTAAAGAGCGTTCACATTACTGGTAAAATCATAAACTAAAGCTAAAAGGACATTTTCCCCTGAACACGATTTAAAGAGCTGGAAATGTGTTCTTACGAGTTCTCCCATTTTGTTTAAGAATAATTTCACAAAGTTTATTAAAAACTTTTTTATTTTTCAGATTAAAGAAATAGCAGCACTTTATTGGAAAGGACAGTACAAATATTTACATGGTTTATGAAAGAACATTAAAAGATAAAGTTGGCTTTTTATGCCGTGATGGCATCATGTTCTCTGAACACGATTGTTTTGGGATTGATTCCGACACTTTTGGTTGTGTTGTGTGTTTTATAGATGCCGATGAGACGATCCGCGATCTCAAACATGTTGTTCCTCAAGGAGATGATGATGAACTGAGCGTTCTTTGTCTGTTCCTGTAAAAAGAAAAACACGTTTTAATTATTTAAGCATACAAAGTTACTGCTGAATAATTTCTTAGTGCAGTGGATTCTCTCGGTTTGTGCACTTTAAAGCTTAAGGACCGTCCTGTTGCAATCACACAATGACATTTTTGTCACAAAAAGAAATAGTTATGATGCGACTATCGAGAACAAATCATAAAAGCTTTAAAAATATTAACTAGCAGCCTGATTGTGCTCACATAAATATAACAGGCAACGATGGAGACGTTCTTGAAGTCCAGAGCGGCATCGATCTCGTCCATGAAGTAGAGCGGGGTGGGCTTGTAGTGATGCAGAGCAAACACCAGAGCCAGAGAGCTGAGGGTCTTCTCCCCTCCCGACAGGTTAAAGATCTTTTTCCAACTTTTCTTTGGTGGACGAACACTAAAACAAATAAAAACGACAGAATACGTCAAATAACAAACATAGAGCTGTAGCACCACATATAAATCCCAGCATGCACCAATAACGTCTTGACTGCTTTTTTTTTTTTTTAATCCTCCCTTACCTGAACATGATTCCTTCAGAGAACGGATCCAAGCTGTCCACCAGCTCCAGCTCTGCATCCCCACCTAGTGTCAGCATCTGGTAGTTCTCCTTCAGCTTGTTGGTGATCATGTTGAACCCGGTCATGAACTCGTTGAGCCGCTGCTTACGGAGGTCCTCGTAGGCGTGCTTGAACCGGTCTCTGTCCGCTGTGATCTCGTCCAACTGGGCGACGCGCTGCAGGTACAGCTCCTCCTGAGGACACAAAGCGTCGGAGATGACGCGCGTTTATCTTATGCCGATGTAAAACAAGGTCTGTCCATTAGCGCCAGTTTTTATCAACTGCTGATAAATGTCCGCTTCGTCGCTCCTCTCCAGTCGTTTTCATGCTTGTGAAATTTTGCCCTTGTAAGTGTAGACGTGCACACGAGACAAACATTTACAAATGCGTAACTTTTGTCGCCGTCGGTGTGTCGGGTTTCAACATTAACCTGTCACCGTTGCTCCCTGTCTGGAGTCGCCCCTGACAGACACACAAAGCTAGCTAGCAGAGCTATGTTAGTTATATTAGCAAGAGAAGCTATGAAGACATCTGCGCGCGACTCAAACTTTTGCCTGACAAAAAAAAAAAAAAAAATAACATGAACACCACTAAATAGTTATAAAAAATTTGAAGACCTGTGATTAATATATTTGAAGTCAACTTATGAATTTAAGATTTCTAACTAGTTACATGAATGTAAGACTTTTCAAGCAGGCGGAGACCCTAGAAATTCACTGCTGCTCTTGGGGCAGCAGTGAATGAGAACAAGTCTTCCTTCATCCTAACCAACGAGACCACCAGGACACCTTGTAGTGTTTGTGTGTACCTTCTTCTTGTACTCTGCAATGGCTCCTAGATTGGGCTTCATTTGACTACACTGGCTCTCCAGCATGCTGATCTTGTTCACCAGGATGTTTGGATCCGATATGGCTTCCAGCTCAGCAGGAGGAAAGACACGGAGTTCCTCTGCTGGCTGGCCCTCAATGGTGTGAAGGGACAGCTTGATGCTCTGGAAGACAAAAACAGGCATTATTGAAGACAACAAAGCTCGGGGGCTTGGTTGTTCCCCAGCTGTGTACTGGTTTAGAGTTATGTGACTCACCTCATCCTGCCAGTACTTGATCTTGCCATTGTGCTTTGTGATGGCAGCGTCTATCTGCTCGATGGTCAGCCGAACGTTGAGCGACTCTTCTTGCAGCGCGTGCTCCTGCTGCTGCAGGGCCTTGATCTCCTTGGAAACGTTCTGATACTGCTCCTGCACCTCAGGCAGAGTGGCCTACACAACCAGAACCAAAGAAGGAGTAAATCAGCTGTATTGATGCTAAGGATGTCCTCAGGGAGAGAAACACTCCCCCAGATTTAAGACATTCTGATACGAATAACGTAAATGGCGAGCAGCAACCTCTGCCTCGTGGCAGGCTTTCATGATCTCCCCGGCCTCATCTTCTAGTTTCTTCAGCTGTTCTGTGAGCTCAGCCATCAACTTCTCGTTCTCTTCCAGCTCAGCTTGCACACGAGCAACGCTCTCCTCACACTTTTTCAGGTTCCTGGAAGACAAACGGAAGAGGATTTAGACGTTTTTCTCCGGTGGTGTTGACAGCAACAGCTAAAGCAGACCAGATCAGCGACAATCATTTCATTGGCCTTCAGAAAGCAAGGCGTTTGAATTACTCTGGTTAGATGCCGCTCACTTTAACATTGTATACATTTGCTTTTATGCCCGGGAGACGTTTTGCCAAGCCGTACTGCTGCAACCAATAGGAAAATTCAACTGCCTCCGCACCGTCAGACCGAAAGGGGCCAGCAGTGAGACTGTTTTAGGCAAATAATATTGCCGAACTCAACAAATTCACACAAACGCAACGACAGAATCCTAAATAACCTATCTAGACAGTTGGTCAGCAAAAACAAAAGTTGATTTGGGGATTGGCTTAACTTTAGTGGAGCATTCATTACCACCAACCAAACTGGTAAGGAGTGTTGCCAAGAAGAAAAGAAAGAAGAAAAAAAAATCATCCTACATTACAAATTACACTGTCTTAGACTTGAAGTAAAAGGTATCAGACCATATTCTATTTTAGATAAATATATAATGTCTAGTTTAGAAAGTGACAGGTTGATACACAAAACAAATAAAGCAAATAAGCAGTTAATAGAAATGAACCAATCATAGAATCTAGACTGGATGAAGTAATGCGCGTCTCGATGAAGAAACTTTGCAAAACTGAATTAAAGGGCAGACGGCATCAAACCTTTGAGCCAAGTCTGCTAAACGAGGGAATGTCTCAGGCAGGACATTTCTGAAGCACACAGGAGCATGAACTTGTGTGGTGCAGATTTGGATACGTTTAAAAGTTACCTACTGCATCTTTAAGACTCACTAAAAGTCCTCACCACTCCTAACATTTTGTCACTTTAGGAGGTCTTAAAGCCTGAGGTTCTCTGTGAATAACTTCTATTTTACCAAGGTTAAATTCTAGGAAAAAATAAAATCACCACTAGGAGCCACTTTCTACATCTTGGACATAAAAGCAACCTGGTCTTTATAACCCTCTTCAGTGTGGAAGTCGTTAAAAGATGAAGAAAACTGAAACTTTTTTCCGGAAAACTCAACAAATCATCTGGAGTTCGAATTGAATAAAAATCAGATAAAGGTTAGGCAGTCATACTTTGATGTGTTGATGCACAATATATCTGCATTAACATCGGCTGATGTTAGTCATGTTTTAACATATCGGTCCCACAGGGGGAAATGGGGCGAAATTAATAAACAAAGTTAGTTTCCATCATGTTGCTGTTTGGATCATGTTTTTGGGAAAGGAATTCTGGCGGCCATGTTGTATTTGTTTGGGCATGTAAACAGTGATGCAGCACAGGAAGGTGGGGTGCTTAAATAAAGCAGAGAACCAACATTAGTAGTGTAATCATTTTTCAGTGTTAAAGGAGTAGGGAAATGTATATAATATTGGTTATCAGCCAAAACAGGGATATTAATAACGTATATTTACCAAAATGTTCATATTGGTGAATCTCTACTTTGATAATTCCTCTCTTGTAGACCCTACAACTATTTTTTCTTTTTTTTTTTCTTTCATGGTACAAATTTGTTGCACTTGATTGTTACATTATACAAATGAGTCGACACATATTACACATATTTACACATAAAACCAGAACTGACATCACCAACCTCAAAGAAAGCCCACCATTAGTGCCAGCAGGGAGAAGGCGGACTGTTCCACCTTTAATATTTCCTTCCCTTACCGATCAGCCGTCTTTATGGCCACTTTGGCTTTGGTGATGATGGA